CTGTAATTTATCTTTTCATTGCTTTGGGCTTTTGATTTAAAGGGTAGAGGTAGCCTTTTTATTTGATAGAGCTCCTGGGAGTATAAACAGTTAAAATGTGTAAGCATTACGCATTTCATTGAAACTTTAAAAATGATTTTCTAGAAAGATTACCTTAATTAACCAAGAACTATGTTCTTTATCAATGAATGGCTTTTCAAAGGATGGTCATACTTAGGAGTAACATTAAGGTTTTATTTATTGCCTTAGAAATTTATATTCTTGACAGAATTTTTGTAGGAGTTTCTTCTAACACATCTTTTATCTGGATCTTGCTACGTTAATTCATAAAACTTCATCTTTAGCAATCTTACTTTTCTAGGCAAAGATGACAGTTAAAACATAATTTGGTGGGCTAAAAGTATACTCTGCAAACAACATAAAGATATACTTTGAAAATATTGTATCAGTAGAAACTGTCTACATGAAATGTGAAATATTTGAAAACATGAAATGTGAAATATTTGAAAATACGAAAGAAGCTCTTCCTATCTGTTGCAACGTGCATGCAGTTTTTGTAGCTCTTCTGAAGGAGTACTTCTGAAATTTGTTACTAGCATTATTTTTAAACAAAGAATGGAAATTAAGTTAGATTGGACTAACCTATTTATGTTGCTAAGAATTACCATGGTGCATTTGATACCGTGTTTCATAAAGTTCATAGTAGACTTATCAGTAGGTTGAATTTCTTTATTGTTAAGACAGTCAAGTCTTTTTCTGAAAATTCTAAGGGTAACATAATGTTGCCAAACTCCATTTAGGCTGGTTTTGAGACCAAGTTTCACCATTTTATTAGGTTAATGTGACCTTGGGTGACTTTTCTGCATGCCTTAGTGTTGTTATCTATGATTCCATAATTAGAAAGAGAGTGTTGTATGGTGGTTAAGCTTCTAGAGCCTGATTTTCCTGGGAGGAAATTCCAGCTTTACTAATAATTTAAAAAATACTGCGTCTCTTATGTGTAAGGCACTGTTTTAGGCACTTGGGATATATCAGTGGGTAAAACAGACAAAAATTTTTTCTCTTGTGTAGCTTATAGTTAGGGCAGAAAAAAAAAACATAAATAAGTCGGTTGTGTAATATGTTAGGAGGTGGGCAGTACTGTGCAAAATGTATAACAGGATAAAAGGGGGATTGAATGTATATGGTGGGATGTTGCAATTTTAAATGGTGTGACTGGAAGAGGCCTCATTAACAAGACTTTAGCAACACTTTGTAGTAGCTAAAGGATTTAGTTACAAAGATCTCTCGAGGAAGAGTGTTCCAGACAGAGGAACAGCCAGTGCAGTAGGTTCTGCTGCATGCTGGAGATTCTGGGACAATAAGGAGGTCAGGTCACTGCTGCTGGAGTGGAGTGAACAAGGGGAGAGGGTAGAAAATGAGGTCTGAAAGATGAGGGTGGGTAGTGGTGGAGGTGGTCGTTGATGGGTGGGGGATAAGCACAGTAGTGCATGTAAGGCCTTGTAGACCCTTACAAGGAGTTTGGTTCTGCCTCTTACTACTTTCATATTCTTTGGTAAATTATATAACCTTTTAGTTTTGTCATCTGTAAAATGTGAATAATAACAATACCAATCTCATAGGCTTGTTGTTTTGATTGAGTTAATACCTGTAGTGTCCTAGGAACACTACTGAGCAGAGTCCAAAGCATATATTCATTACTTATATATTGCATATATTCTTACATGTGGAATCAACATTAAGAGATCACCTTCTTCCTTTTCTTTTGAAAAGGTAGCAAAAGGAGAGTTAATTGCTCACTGCTTTGACTTTTCTATGATAAATTGCTTATGCTTCAATTGTATCACATTATTATCACAAACATTTACTCTGTATGTGCTTATCATCCTTGCTAAATTATGAATACCTTTGGACAGAGACCAGGGTATTTTATTGTGTCTTAGGAATCTTAATGTGTTGTAAATATATATCATGTGATAAAAAATGTTGACTAAATTAATGACAAAAATGTTGGCTTAATTAATACATCGGACCACCTGCTAGTAAGTATATTGGAACATTGCCAGTCTATCAAAGCTAAATAGTGGAAGGGTGGTAGCTAACGGCCTCTGCAAAATATTTATGTATTTTATTTCTGTGCCATAATTATTCAAATTGGTATTAGTAGAAAATTTCTTTAAATATTATATAGGTATACAGGTTTGTACCATGTAAAATGAAAAGTCTTTATGTATATTATATATCTGTTAACATTTGCTGTCATTGGTTGATAGGAAACAACTACTATCTTGATTGATAGCATAGATACAATAAAACTCCTACTTTAAAATATAATAGTTACCTACTTACAGTGGTTTGATTTAGGATTTTTTGACTTTATGGTGATGCAAAAGGCATAGGCATTTAGTTATAGGCATAAACTTGTTACTTATTGGGATGTAACCTCATCATAAGTCAAGGAACATCTGTATATTTTTAGTCTTAATCTGTTTATATCTGCCCAAGTGTTTATAATCAAAGATTATTTCACCAGTAAAATGTTAAAAGAATTGCTAAGCAGGAATATTCACTGACTGCTGAAGTGGGGTAGTAGGGCAAGGAAAGAGGAAGATCTGAACTGACTTGGGTGGTTGTCCAAGTAATTTTATATCTGCCTTTTTGTATTTGCTTGGTTTCAGTTTCCAGCGTAGTAGGTTCTCTTCTCCCCATTCTTGGTTGAGAGGAGTGGAAGAGGAGAAAGGGGGATAGAGGCTTGAAGACATGAAATTAGTAGATGATGCTAAATGAATTAGGGTTCCAGAGACAGACTATGTGACAGGTGACTTGGGGGTAATTGTGGGTTTACATGGTAGAGGAATGGTTGTGTGGGAAAGACATTCCAGAATTTCTGTTTATAAATTTATACTTTGAGGTTATATTATTTTGTGTGTATGCATGTTTACTTTTCCTTCTTGCTTCACTATTTTATTTTTGTTTTCTTTTTACATATCTAAGTTATATTCTTTGATGTATGACAGCAGTAATCTAGTGCTTTCAATAAAATGTGATGCAAGAAGGTGAGTATGCTTTTTGTGAAAATGTGTTCGACCGAATATTAAGATTTCAAAAACATTTGTCCAGTCTGTAGATGTTACTAGCTCATGATGAGTTGTGTAATAATATCCTGATTGTGGAGTAGATACCTCACATCAACTTTTAAAAAGACTCATAATGTTAAAATGCATAATGTGAAGACATTTTTTCCCCTTATATAGGCTTTGCAGTGTCCTTTTCTGTTCAATTTTATTCTTGTAATTAGCAATTCTAAAAGTTGGATATAGTAATGTATGTAGCAATATATGTACAGAATGTATAATATTCTAATAGAATACTGAACAGCGGCAGTGTGATGCAGAAACAGTTGTTAAAAGAAGAACTTTAGACAAATTTAGCAGAGCGTACATATCCGTGCAAAGAACTATTCATAAATCAGGCAGCACTCTGAACCAGAAGAGGTTTGGAGAGCTCCATCCAGCAACATAGGCAGGCAGTATTTATACACAGAAAAAGCAAATGACAAGCAGAAATAGCTTGATTGGCTACCTCTTGGCATTTGCCTTATATGGACATAGTCTTATCAGGTGACAGTCTGTAATTGGCTGAGACTTGGCTACTGTGATTTGCTGAGACTCAGCTACTTGTTACAAAAATATACTCTTAAATTAGGTAGCAGTTTGTTTACATAGTAAGTTAGGTTTTGTTGGCGACCCAGAGGGGCAGCTTTAGACCTAATTTAATTTAACATAATTTTGCTTTACTTTACCCATTTTTAATAGTGTCTAACTTAGTAGTATAGTTTTATAGCTTTTATTATCCTTTTGGTACTCTTGCTATAGAAGTATGTACTTAAAATAACTTTGCATAATTGAGAGGAATGACATATATATGCTTTTGAATGCTTGGCTGCAAAACATTGAGGCAGGCAATTAGGAGCTTAGTAGAAATAAAGTATTTTAAAGTAGATTTTTTTGTAACTAGCTCAATAACAAAGCTACTGACTAGCTAAGTACTGGAAAATGCTAAATTATCAGAAAGACTGTACTGTTTGTAGTTTCTTGATAAAGCATATGTAAATACAACCTTGAGTTGATATACTTGGTTATTTTCTAGAGATTATCAATTTCTAGAAAATACCCTGCTTTTACATTTATGGCTTTTATTGATGTGCAAGGTATTTATGGATCCCTAAACTTGTATTAGGACTGTTACATAAAATGCTTTACCTGTTGTTTCTGAATAAAATTTTATTTGGCTTGTTCTTTATTTCTGATAATTCAACTTTCAGTCTTCATTACTTTCATTTAATATACCTGGGAAAAATCTCAGTTACATGAATAAAGTGATCTGTGGTTGGTATCAATGCAGTACCAATGTGGAATGTTAATTTTCTGTGTTAGTCTCTGCTAAAAGGTTGATTATAGCATGATGTTTAAAAAATATTGATGGACCATTTTAGCGTTATTAAATACGTTTTGCTTTGAACTTTTAAGATGCTTATGTTTGTATTTTCAAAAACTGCATCCTTAATATATTTAGAATTTTTCAGCTGAGGGAAATGTTACTGTAAGAGTTTATCAAGACAATAGTGCTATTTGAGTGTTGGAGAGTGTCAGAATATGATTTTAATGAAACACATTTGTGCTTTCCTTCCTATTTTAGGATATTTAAGATGATTGTCAAGGTTATTGTCCTGACTTCAAATAAATCTTAATCCTTCACTGGAAGTTAAGTTTGAAAAAGTCCAATTTGTATCTGAGTCATTGTTGTAATATCATTTAGCATTGATGGGTCATTGTACTCAGACGAAGTGTTAGTTGTTACTAATTTTATTTAACAGTATCTACCATGGAAAGAATTTTGTTAAACTTAGGACACTTAAATGTAACAATTTTACCTGACCTTAAGACTGTGTTTAATCCTGATTCTTTTGGGGGATAACCTGTATTTGTGTACTTTTGTAGGATAGAGGGAGGAATCAGCAGTTTGAAAATTCAAGCACGTGATCTGGCGGGATGGGCATTTGCCTGACATATTTAATGGAGGTAATTCAGCATTGTTGACTCAATCTTTAATTTTTACCTGTGATAGATGCCCATGTTACTACACATACTTACAATAACTGTTGGGTATAAGTGTGCATTTATGGCCAATCCCTTTTCTTTTTATATTCATATAAATAACATATCACTATTATAAATATTATAAATAATATGTAGATATGGACATATGTACATAGAAAATAACATTGTTAATTTTATAAGATGAGGTCCATTATCTTCTCTTAAGATTACTTGCATATCTTCTTTTAGGCCTCATTTCCTTTATGTTAGGAAGGCAAATGATCCTCTCCTTTCTTGTTGGCCTATGTTGGTGCATATATTAAACCTATGCTTTTATCTTTCATACAATGTGAAAGAAATTATCTAACAGTTTTCAAAGAGTTTACATATCTGTCGCTGGCACATACTCATGTCAATTTTTAATGATCATAAAAATTATTCTATTTGTTGTATTTTTAATTTTTTAATTTTTTTTAATAGAGACAGGGTCTCGACTATGTTGCCCAGGCTGGTCCTGAACCCCTGAACTCAAGTAGTCCTCTTGCCTCAGCCTCCCAAAGTGCTAGGATTACAGGTGTGAGTCACTGTACCTGGCCTGATCATAAAAATTCTAAAGTTTCTCTGTGCATTTTAAAATTTGTTTTTTGAGAATTTTTTTGTTTTTTGAGATAGGGTTTTTGCCCTGTTGCCCAGGCTGGAGTACAGTGGTGTGATCTTGGCTCACTGCAACCTCTGTCTGCGGGGCTCAAGTGATCCACCCACCTCAGGCCTCCCGAGTAACTGGGACCACAGGCACAGGCCACCCTACCTGGCTAACTTTTGTGATTTTTTTTGTTGAGATAGCATTTTGCCATGTTGCCCAGGCGGATCTTGAACTTCTGAGCTCAAGAAATCCATCTGCCTTGGCCTCCAGAGTGCTGGGATTATAGACCTGAGCCACTGCGCTCAGCCTGAGAATTCTTTTTCACCTTGTGGATTGAAATTATTTGGAGTTTCAGTGGCCATATTTTAGGATTTTCCTAGTTTTTCCTCACCTTCTGATAATTGTTATGGTCAACATTTTTCACTTCTTTACTCATGTTTATTATAATAGGTGTATACACTTAGGCAATAGAGAATGTTATAACATCGAAAAAAGGCTTTCCAACCCTTTCCTATTCAGTATAATCATTGTATATCCTTGCAGACAATTTCTATACATATACAAGCATTTATGTGTGTGCTTATGTTTACACATTTTTTTACACAAATGAGATCACACCATATTATTCAGTAATATTAAAAAAATGAACTTCCACAGTTTTGCAAATCATTCCTTCTCATTTTATGCTGCATAGTATTCTAATATTTGGACATATCATAATTTTTCTAACTGGTCATCTACTTATGGATATTTAGCCCCTTTTTTTTGCTATTGTAAATGATGATGTCGTGAATATTCTTGGGTACACCTTTGCACATATTTAAAAATATATCTGGCTAGGTGTGGTGGCTTATGCCTGTAATTCCAGCATTTTGGGAGGCCAAGGCAGGTGGATCACTTGAGGTCAGGAGTTCGAGACTAGCTTGGCCAACATGGTGAAACCCCAGCTCTACTAAAAATACAAAAATTAGCCAGACATGGTGGTGGGTGCCTGTTATCCCAGCTACTCAGGAGACTGAGGTGGAAGAATTGCTTAAACGCAGGAGGCAGAGGTTGTGGTGAGCCAAGATGCCACCACTGCATTCCAGCCTGGGCAACAGAGCAAGACTCTGTCTTAAATTAAAAAAAAAATTATATATATATATATATATATATATATGTAGCATAAATTCTGAAGGGAAAAATCACTGGACTGAAGATTATGTACATTTAACAATTTGGTGGATAAATTGCCTAACTTAAAAAGAAGGCCAAATATCAGTAGTCTGTGAGAGAGGGGATCTCTGTATCTTTTTGACAACACTAGCTAGTGTCAAACTTTTAATATTTGTCAGTTTTTTGTTGATTAACTTTGCTTTTCTTACGAATGAGTTTGAAGATTTTCCCCCTTATTATTGGCCATAATGTATGTTTTCGGTTACCGATTTGGTCATGTGCTTTGCCGTTTTATGGAGCTCTTTATGTTTTTATATATTAAGGAAAGGAGCTTCTTGTCATTTTTTTTTTTTAAGTTTTCCAATTGACAATTGTATACACTTATGAGGGTGTAATGTTTTTTATTTTTACTTGACACATATATAGTGTATATTTATGGTAACATACATGGTGTATATTTAAATTTTATACACTATTAAAAATAGTGTATGTTCAAAATAAACTTTTTCTGTATTTTGTTACATGCTTGCATTGTGTAATGATCAGATCTGGCTAATTAGAGTATTTTCATCACATTAAATATTTACCATTTCTTTGTGAGCCTCTTGTCATTTATTAGACAGATTACTTTTGCTCAAGTTTTGCTCATCTTTTGATTTTATTATTTTGCCCAACAGAAGTTTTCATTTTTTATTGTTGAATATAGTAATCTCATCTTCCGTGACTGAGGTGGGCAGTGGAGAACAGTTCTGTGTTAGATTTAAAAGGTCTTTATCATTAATTATAGGGCTCACTTTTCCCTTCAGGTTATAGCATCTCTGAATAACGTGAATCTCTAACTTATCATACTTCAACTTTTGTTTCTTTTTCTTCTTTTTCGTAAATTAGTTTGGCCAGGTGTCTTTAGGAAGAAAATGAATATACATAAATAATTATCTTTTAAAATAAAATATTAGGTATTGAGGCTCATAATGGAAGAAGAGGTATACATTCATAATGACAACTACAAAGATAAAAATGCCTGGGAGCGTATTACTTTAAAAAAATTTGCAACTCTATGGAAGAATAAGAGTATTTGAATCAGTTCACATTTTTTGATAAGATACATATGAAATTCTTCAAATATATATTTAAAGCTATATATTTTAAGTATTGCTTTAGCTGCATCCTGTAAATTTTGATATTTTTCATTTTCATGCAGTTAAAAATATTTTCTAATTTCCCTTTACATTTTGTCTTTGTTATTTAGAAGTCGGAAGTTTAATTTCCAAATGTTTGTGGATTTCCCAGTTTTTTAGTTGATATCAAATTCAATTCTGGTATGGTTAGAGAACATGTAAATGTATTTGTTTATAAGACAGGGTCTTGCTGTGTTGCCCAGGCTGGTCTTGAACTCTGGGGCTTAAGCAATCCATCCACCTCAGGCTCCTGAAGTGTTGGGATTACAGGCTTGAGCCACGTTGTGCGGCTCAGACAACATATTTTTATGACCTCAATCCATTTAAATTTAGTGAGACTTATTTTGTGGCCCAGCATGTGGCCTGTCCTAGAGAATGTTTTAAAACAATATGTATTCCAGTATTGTTTGGTAGTGTTTTCAATATATGCCACTTACGTATAGTTGGTTGATAGTGTGGTTCCGGTCTTCTCTGTCCTTTCTAGTTTTCTGTCTCATTATTATATCACTTATTTAGAGTGAGACATTGAGATCTCCAAATATAATTGTTGAATTTTTAATTTTTCCTTTCAATCGTGTTAGTTACTGCTTCATTATTTTGGGACTCTTTTTAGATGCATACACAATTGTTATATCTTCCTGATGGTTTGACTGTTTATTATTATGAAATGTCTTTCGTTGTCTCTGTAGTCTTAAAGTGTGTTTTATCTGATGTTAATATAGCCATTCTGTCTCTTATGGGTACTGCTTCTATAGTATATCCTTTTTTCCCCCATCCTTTTACTTTGAGTTTTGAATGTAGGATATGTCTTTTGTTGACAGCATATAGTTGGAATTTGTGTTTCTGTCCTTTCTGACAGTCGTTGCCTTTCCATTGGACTATTTAGACTATTCATATTTAATTAGGGATATAGTTGGATTTACATTTGCCATTTTGGTACCTGCTACACACACACACACACACACACACACACACACACACACACTATATATATATCTTTTTATATACATATATAAGATATATATTATATATATAAGATATATATTATATATATAAGATATATATAATATATATAAGATATATAATATATATAAGATATATATAATATATATAAGATATATATAATATATATAATATATATAAGATATATATAAGATATATATAAGATATATATATATAAAGCAAGTATATATAGTGTCATTTCACTATGGTTTATATATGATATGGTCCTTTATATATATATGTATCTACATAGATATAGATAGATATCTCCAATGTTTTTGTTCCTTTGTTTCCTCTATTGCCTTTTGTGTTAAATACTTTTTTTACTCCAGTGATTTTTTTTAACTGTGTATTTTTAAAGATATTTTCTTTGTAGTTGCTGTCAGGATTATGCATTTTAACAGGCTGCTTATTATCAGTAAGATAATGAAACTTTCCTCCAATGTAGGTCCATTTTCTCTTCTTTATTGTACCGCTATTGTAATATACTTCTCTATATATTATAAACCCAGTAGTACAGTGTTGTGATCATTGCTTTATACATTCTTAGGTGTTTTAAAGGAAGGAAGAAATGAGAAAAATATGTTTATAGAGTCTTTTTTGAATTAACCCACATATTTGCCATTTCTGGTGCTCTTCAATTCTTTCTGTGTATTTAAGTCTGATGTCTTTTCCTTTCAGCTTGATGGACTTCCTTTGGTGTTTGTTTAAGGCAGGTCTGCTAGCAAAAACAATTGTCTCAATTTTTGGTTATCTGGGAATATTTTTTCATTTTTGAAGGAAGTTTTGCTGCCTTCTTGGTTGACAGCTGTCTCTTTCAACTCTTTGAATATGTGATTTCACTGTCTTCTTGTCTCTATTGTTTTTAACTGGAAGTTAGCCACTAATCTCTGCATATGCTGAATCATTCTCTTCCTACTTTCAAGATTTTTCTCCTTGTGTTTGCTTTCAACAAGTTTGACTACGTTGTGTCCAGTTGTAGGTTGCTTTATATTTTCCTACTTGAAATTCATTGTGCTTCTTAGCTCTGTAGATTTATTTTCCTTAGAAAAATTAAATTTGGGGCCAGGCATGGTGGCTCATACCTATAATTCCAGCACAGGTGGGGATTTGAGAGGCCAAGGTGGTCACATCACCTGAGGTCAGGAGTTCAAGACCAGCTTGGCCAACATGGTGAAACCCTGTCTCTACAAAAATACAAAAATTAGCCGGGCATGATGGCGGGTTCCTGTAATCCCAGCTACTCGGGAGGCTGAGGCAGGAGATCGCTTGAACCTGGGAGGCACAGGTTGCAGTGAGCCGAGATCACACTATTACACTCCAGACTGGGTGACTGAGCGAGACTCCGTCTTAAAAAAAAAGAAAGTAAATTTGTCACGTTTTGGCCAATATTTTATTAATTTTTTTTTCTTCCCTTCTTTCCTGGTACTCAAAATGTTGGTAAGCTGGATGTTGTTCCACATGTCTTTGAGGCTCTGTTCATTTTACTTCCATCTTTTTCCACTCTTGTTTTTCAGAGTAGATGGTTTCTATTGATGTATCTTAAAAGTCACTGATTTTCTTTTGCCATAAATCTGTTGAGCCCTTCTGATGAATTTTTTATTTCTGTTACTGTATTCTTAAACTTCAGGATTTCCATTTGGTTCTTTTACATAATTTCTGCATCTTTGTTGAGGATCTCTTATTGGTTGATTGCGGTTTTTCATAATTAAAAAACTTTAAAACATGAGTTCCTTTTAACATATTTAACATATCTATAATACATATTTTACATAATATATTATAACAACTCTGGATTGTGATGAGCCCCTCCCCTTTTATTGTTACTGTTGTCATTTCACTATAGTTTATATATGATACAATCCTATTGAGGAAAAGAAATTTTATTTTGCACGAAAGTGTATCTGGAAAAAGAGATATATGTGAATATCCAGGAAAATTCTGAAATGCAGGAGTACTGAGAGGTGAATAGCTCTGTAAGAATTTGGACTTTTAAAAAAATATGTAAACTGTTGAAATGTTTTTTAAAAAATGAATTAATATACTTTCTGAAGTTCAAAGAGGAAATCATTACTGATATGGATGTAGGTGGGAAAGACTATTCTTTTTGCCTTTGCACCTTCATAAGCTGATGTAAAATCATAGGATCTTTCATGTATCATCTGGTGTCCACACTTCTTGTGAAGGAGTGTATGCAAACTATTCTTGATAGGTAGGAATCTAATATTTTAAGAACCTCCAGGGTAGGAAATTCCATAAAATCTTTAGTCTGTTAGCTATGCTCCGAATACTTACTGTCAGGAAGTTTTCTTCCTGTGTATAGCCTATACTCTGTTTTTGTTTTGAATGTGCTAAAAATTTTCCATATATTTTTATCTATCTTTTTTGTCAGCTTTTTCCTGTCGGTGGTAATCTTGCTGATAATATTTAATCTGATTTTATAACCATAATTGTTTCTATTGTTTTTGGCCACTAGAATTTTATGTTGAATTTATATAATAGTTTCTTTTAAGTTTTGGCATGCCATTAGTTCTATTTGTTTGTAAGGCCTGCCATTGTGTTTCTTCTCTCTTCACTTCATAGACTTTAACAAAGCAGATATGATTAGTGTTTGTAAGTAGTTTCTTAAGTTTTGTTTTTTCTAACCTTTTAGGTCTGTAATTCTCTGAATTTCCTTGAATATCCTGTATCTTTGAGGCTGTAGATTCCACGTCTAGGCAATTGTGTGTTTTTTTTGTTTGTTTGTTTGTTTGTTTGTTTTTTGAGACAGAGTCTCGCTTTGTTGCCCAGGCTGGAGTGCAGGGGCGCATTCACGGCTCACCGCAAGCACTGCTCCCCGGGTTCATGCCATTCTCCTGCCTCAGCCTCCCGAGTAGCTGGGACTATACACGCCCGCCACCACACCCGGCTAATTTTTGGTATTTTTAGTAGAGATGGGGTTTCATCGTGTTAGCCAGGATGGTCTCGATCTCCTGACCTTGTGATCTGCCTGCCTCGGCCTCCCAAAGTGCTGGGATTACAGGCATGAGCCACCGTGACTGGCCGGCAGTTGTTCTTTATAAGGCCAAGTTTATTTCTCATTTACCGTCTACTTACTACTATTGCATTTTTTCAATTTCAAACATAAAAACAAGTCAGTACATTGATCATTGAGTCATAACTTACTATATTTAGAAAGAATTTTCACTTCAGTATTCATACCAATTTGCACATATTATATTTGTATAGTATTTTTTCCTACCATTAATAATGTTTGTTGTGTGTGTGTTTATTGTAGGAATTGGATGGCATAAGTGATTAAGGTGGTATCGAGGATTTCTGAAGCCTATGAAAGGTGGAAACTCAACCATGATTTCTTTTTCAACTCTACAGCATTCCCTTCCTTGAAGTCTTCATTTTTACCTTAGTCTCAGGTAATTTTAATACTTATATTTCATAATCTTGAATAAATAAGTTTTTTCAAATATGAAGTCATTGTGTTTAGCTGCTAGAATTTTATACTGAATTTATATAATAGTTTCTTAAAGTTTTGGTATTTATATTTGGAAGAAACTAGTTTTTTTCTTGAGGAAACAAATTGAAGAGATGAATAATGGTGTCATTTTAGACTCTTTTAACACACACAAAAATGTGTAATCTTAAGTGAAATTGAATTGAGAGTTATTTTCTTGGTTTAACACTTTTTCTCAACAGGATATAGCATTTTTTACCCTCTATCCTGAACACATATACACTCACATTAAATTTCCCAGAATTTTCAAAGAAACTGTTTTCACACTGAGGAAAGTTAGGCATGTTAGTCAAGTTTAATGGTGTTTGCTATATAATTTTTAAAATATGAAAATACATATCAGTTTCTATACATCTGTACATGTTGTGTGTATGCCTGCACTAATATAAGGAAGCAGTCTTATAGATAATTCAGTAATCACTTAAGTATATAGGCTTGGCTACTGTGACTGAGGCTTATAAAGGTAGAAATATATTTGAATTTACTTGAAAAGTCTGTGTAAACTATCTTGAGAGTTTATGGAGGCTGCAGAATCACTATATACCAGGGCTCCTTTGTCTTGCTCTGCTCTTCTTATGTGCAGTTTCTATATTGTGGGTGAGAATGATTACCGTTGTGTCTGCTGATAAGAAGAAAAAGAGAAGGGCATTCTGTTTACCTTTAAGAGGAGTTTGTGTATATCACTTTCACTCAGATCCCTTTGGTTTTAACTTTGTCACATGTCACAACCAGCTGCAAAGGAGGCTGGGAAGTAAGTGACTCTGATCTAGGCAGCCATATGTTGCACTTAATTTTTATTACTGGATAAGAAGGAGAAAACAGATTCTGGGGAGATAGCCAGGTATCTGTCACATTAAGGTTTGAGTCCAATATATTTTCCATTAAAAAGAAGTGCTGTTGATTTAAAGTTAACTTTTTTGTTGTTGTTCTAGAATGAGTCTTGGTTACTGTATAGTATGTATTAAAAATAACCATTAGCAATCTAGGCATAGTGGTATGTGCCCAGTCCCATCTCATTTAATTAAAAAAAAAATTAGGTGTTTAACATTTGTTCATAGTATACAGGGACATTTTGTTTTAAGAAGTATTTTAAAATATTTTTTAAATATTTCTTTTGATCATGTAAGAATACAGAAACTTTATAGTTTGAATATTAATGTTTGAATTGTTGATATTGGCATAAAATGTAATAGATGCAATAACTAGATCCAACAGAATGTAGGATTCTGCTTTGTGGGAACTTTTTTTAAAATTTTTTTTTATTTTACCTTTTCCCTCCCCCTCTTCTTGTTAAGATAAATTATAGCTGTTTCTTAAACTGTTTGAATTTCTGTAAATTTGATATTTTAGTATTTCTAAATACTACTATCTTCTTGTTACATTGTTTTACAGAACAGATAATAAATATTTGGAATGCAGAATATGCCTAGATTCTGTTTCATTTGAGAGGGGCTTCAGTGTGGTATAGAAATGCCTATTAACTTTGGCTTATTCAAATATTTATAAATTATTTTTCTGTGGTGAAAAAATAGTTTTTTTTTTAACTTTTTAGATTTTTGAAGTCGTATTATATAAAATGATTATTGTTAGTGTGTAAGTTTTCTGATTAATAGTTGTGTTAGCAGCTATTGAAATAGGTATTTATTTAAACACCCTTTATTGTTGTTAGCACTGATCAGAGAAGCCGTTGTGTCCCATTGTATAAATGATGTTCCTGTTAGGATATTTTGAAATAGTAATACTTTAAAAATTAACATAGTTTACAAGGTATGTTTTATAGATACAAAATGGTAGTTATACAGAAATATATCTGAAGAGGTCTTTGAATGTACTTAGACAATAAATAGATTTTGTTTTTTTAATAAGAGATGAAGTAGTTTCTGCTTAGATCAAAACTGTACTTTTCAAGGATGAAAGCAAATGCAAAACTTCTTCAGAATAACAAATAGCAAATTTGTTAAAGGTTCTGGTATTAATCATGGGTTTCATCTCCAAATGATTTGGAGGCTCATTGATACTTGTATTTCTAATGCTGATATTTTTAAGGTGTAATTTCTCACAGTTAGAAACATAAGTTAGAAATGTTAATATCCAAGTGAATGTAACTGGCATCCTGCAAATAACAAAGTGCTTTGGATCAGAAGTAATTTGTGAAATCTAGCTTTTTTTCTTTTACCTGTTTTCAGAACAGGTTCCTTTGAGTGCCTCTCTTTTGGCTTGCAAGTGAAGTTTCATTTTAGAATGAATAGGTTCTGTTACAAAGTCGGGGGAAGAGGTGTTACTGAATTTGTGAGAATATTTTAAGTTGAAAATTACTCTTTTTATACAGAAGACGATGATTAGGTTCCGAAGCTTGCCTATTATAACCTGCTTTGACTCATAGTTGAAGTTCCATATTATTCAAAAAAGTTTATGGAAAATAATATTACTACCAAACTCAATACATAGAAATGGAGGATCTCTAAGTGGGAAATATTTATTTCTTTCATGCTCAAATGCAGATTAATTAAAGGTAATAAGTGGCACATGGAAGTTCATATACATTCTGAAAGGGAACTTGGTGCTTTAAAAAATTTTAGAGCATATAGCATAAGCCTTCAAATCTGTTTTCATTTTAAATTGTACAGCCCTCTTTTTTTGATACAGGTGTATCATTAGCACTGGCTGATTTTACATTTATTAGCCATATTTAGGATTATTTTTAAATTTCCAATTGGAAATGGGAAGGTAGAGAGATTTTCCTGGTAAGGCTTTGAGAAAACAGGAAGGAAGGTAGCTTAAGAAGATATATTTAAACCCATGAAAAAGAAAGAATGGCTCAGGAGAAATTCACTGAGATCTGAGATATGAGTAACAGATAGAAATTGGAAAACAGAAGGCCGGGCGCGGTGGCTCACGCCTGTAATCCCAGCACTTTGGGAGGCCAAGGCGGGTGGATCACAAGGTCAGGAGATCGAGACCACGGTGAAACCCCATCTCTAAAAATACAAAAAATTAGCCGGGCATGGTGGCGGGCGCCTGTAGTCCCAGCTGCTCGGGAGGCTGAGGCAGGAGAATGGCGTGAACCCGGGAGGCGGAGCTTGCAGTGAGCCGAGAACGCGCCACTGCACTCCAGCCTGGGCGACAGAGCGAGACTCCCTCTCAAAAAAAAAAAAAAAGAAATTGGAAAACAGAAAATGTGGAAAGTGTCGAGTCCTCCCACAGAAGAAAAGGGGATTCTGTGTCAGAACGTTCTCCCATGGTAGCCATGAGATGGAGTAGTCAGCTAAGGACAGTTTGATTGCTTTGCCAAGCCAAGCAATGATGGTAGAGAGGCCTTAAGAGCAGGTGGTGAGAGGGCAATAAGAGTTCAACTACTTCCTAATGTGTCCAGGGCCTTTTAAAGTCAGGAAATAGTGTGATAAGGTAAAAAGTGCATTGAGTCAGCTAAGTCTGGTTTGAAATCCCAGTTTACTTCTTAGCTATGCATCCTTGGGTAAGCCCCAGTTTGTCTGTTAAATGAGGATATGCTGTTACTGTCTTGAGGGTTATTGTAAGTATTAAGTAAGGCAATATATTTAAAGGTGCACAGCACAGTGTCTTACATTTCAGCACACATTAGTTGTCTTTCCTCTCCAGGTTTTCATAATTTCTGAATTTTAGAATACAGACGTAAACATACTAATTTGGAAAGACCCCATTAATTGTATAAAACTCCCATTAAGAAAACCTCAGCAAGAATTTTTTTTCCCCGATTTTTAATTGGCCCTTGTAGAACAAGGAAGCATTTTTAAGAGCCTTGTATATTTGATTAAAAATGAGTAATAGTACCCAACTTGTCCATTTGTAATGCTTCTGTTAACTTTGTCCTCTGAAGACAAGCCCAGACAGTTCCCCGAGTTTTGGAAATAATTGTCAAAAAACATTTGTGTTAAAAGCCTGTGTATTTAATTCCTTATTAAAAGCCCTGACCCAAAACTGTTGGCTCTGTTTCAACTTAATATAAATCTGTAAAGCTTAGTTTTTAATTACTTACACATAATTGAATAGAGACATTAAATTTGAAGATGACCACAAGAAGAGTCAACTATTTCTTCTGGTAGACAGGAGAAAAGTAATGGCAGATAATTTACATTCTTTTTAAGTACCCCTCTGCCACTAGGCTTAAATGACTAGACGGTTACCTAAGTCACTACAGTTAGACTTTTACACAGCTGAACTAAACGTGTCAATAGGAAGGATGTTAGGTGTGTGTGGGGTTGGGAGTGGGAGCAGGGAGGGGAAATTCAATGGAACTGGAAGTTGTGTTGTGGCCCCCTAAATACCCCTGTAGCCGGTTTCTCTCGCAGAAGGATGGTGATGAGGGAAGAATAAATCATGGAAGCGGGGAAAGAATGCAGAATTTGAAGTAATCTGTGAAAGGGAGATTTAGGAGAAATTGGCCTTAGTTGGTCTCCTTCCTTTCTCTTTCCTGCTCTATTGTAGTTTTCACCATTCTCTGCTGTGGGTAACTTGAAGTGCAGAGGAAGGATTGCCTCTCATTCTTAGCTGAATTAGCCCTTGGACATCATTGTCCAGCCTGTCTTGGTTCTTAACAGTGCTGCCATTTTGTACTCTGTGGTGTCAGCTGCCTAAGGTCTCTACGAGATAAAGGGTCTTCACAGGGAGCTCAGCGTGGCTTATTACTCCACGTATTTTCTTTTCTCTTCAGTTGGACAGGGGTTCCTTGAAGCTGAAATTAATTGTTTAGTTTTTTTCCCCTTCCAAATCAGTCTTCCATGTGAGTAATAAGATTTAAAGGAAGCATTCTTTCTTTCCTCTTCTGTGTTGTATCCCTAACCCCTGACTTTCCATTAATTATACACACATTTGGATTAGAAAGCAGTTGGCTTTTTGAGGAGTTAACAGGAAGAGACAGTTAATTATTCACATATTAGTGTGGCTTGACTACCTCAGTTTTCTTTCTTTACACTTAGCTGATCCTCCCTAAAAATAATGAAATTAGAGGAGGGATATGACATGTGTTAGCTTTTGAGCTTGGAACCTTTTGTTGTATTTGGATTTTTGAATATGCAGTGAGGCACGTGAGAGCTTTGACTGAGACCACTGAAGAGTTTCAGTGGGAAAGGTTAAAACCATAATGGCAGACAAGGGAGGTGCAAGGACAATACAAGTGTGTTTTTTCTACTTTATCTTTTTTTAATTAATAAGTGTAGCTTTGTCCTGTTCCCTTTTTCCATGGACCTGGTAAAATTTCCCGGCCAGAGACAGGTTGAGGTATATGATAGAGGTATGACTCACTTTGTCTTTGAAACATGCCTTAAAATAACACTAAGTCTTTGTTTTAAAATAAAGAAGAAAAACAAGACCTAGAGTCAATTCTGTTACTCATACCCTGTTAGCTTGCTGTAACCTTAAATAAAGAAAAGATGTTGGTACTTGAAAAAGGAATAATAAAAAGTCAAAATTAGTCTTCTTCATGAAGATCCTTTCTTATTTCATTTTCCAAATTCCAGTTAAGTTTCTTACCAGGAAAATAAATATATATATATATATATATGTGTGTGTGTGTGTGTGTGTGTGTGTGTGTGTAGAAAGGATCTTACTATCTACATAATTGTCCTTGATTTTTTTTCACTTAATATATCTTGGAGAACCAGCACATAAAGCTAACATCATTCCTTTTAATGGCTGCACGTGTTCCATTGTATGGTTGAGTCATAATTAATGTAACAAGTCCCCTGTCTATGGATGCTTAAATATGTTTCCAGTCTTTTCCCATTGAAGGGTTGTAGCAAACATCCTTGTACTTTCTTCTTTGATGAGTGTCTATGAATAAACCCATAAGGTTGTATACTATATATCACTAGCAGTGAGATTGCTGAATCAAGAGTACATAGTTTTCATTTTGATAGATATTTCCAAAGCTCAGTTTAAAGCTTTGTCTTATTTAAAACCTTGTATCCATTGATATTGGAGTTTGTTTTGATATCTTAGTACTTTCTGGTATTTTGGGGAAATTTCAGGGTATTTCAAAAAGAGTTTCCAGGCCAGACAGTTTAACTCCCAATATATGCCTTAATTTGGGGCCATAGGAATAAGGAACTTATGTAAAAAGGAAGAGAGATTTATTTTTCTTTGCATGTGGTCGGTTTTCAGGAAGATTTTTGAAGAGGTCATTTGTTTTTCATTTGGAGTATTTCCACTTTGTCTTCAGTTTACTACTTCTGTATCAAGGTGTGCTCTCTTCCTGTTCCAAGTCTCTCACTCTAGCACTTTATGCCTTTTTTCCAAAATATTATCTGTCCCTAGAATACTACTACTTCATCAATACTTATTGTTTTGGCTTGATGCTAAGCATACAATTAGGTAAAAAAAAAAAAAAAAAAAAATCACATCAAGCTAAAAATCTTCTGCACAGGAAAGGATATAGTCAACAAAGTGAAGAGACGACCCACAGAATGGGGGAAAATATTTGCAAACTACCCATCTGACAAGGGATTAATAACCAGAATATATAAGGAGCTCAAACAATTCTATAGGAAAAAAAATCTAATAATTCAATCAAAAAATGGACAAAAGATTTCAGTAGACGTTTCTCAAAAGACATGCAAATGGCAGACAGGCATATGAGCATGAAAAGGTGCTCAACATCATTGATCATCAGAGAAATGGAGATCAAAACTACAATGAGATGTCATCTCCAGTTAAAATTGCTTATATCCAAAAGACAGGCAATTACCAGTGCCGGTGAGGATGTGGAGAAAAGGGAACCCTTCTATGCTGTTGGTGGGAATGTAAATTAGTACAGCCACTATGGAGAAAAGTTTGGTGGTTCCTCAAAGAACTAAAAATTGAGCTACCATACGATCTAGCAGTCCCACTGCTGGGCATATACCCCCCAAAAAGGAAATCAGCATGTTAAGATATTTGCACTCCTGTGTTTGTTGCAGCACTGTTTACAATAGTTAAGAATTGGAAGCCACCTGAGTGTGTATGAACAGATGAGTGGATAAACAAAATGTACATGTACACAGTGGAGTAGTATTCAGCCATAAAAAAGAATGAGATCCAGTCATTTGCAACAACATGAGTGAAACTGGAGATCACTATGTTAAATGAAATAAGCCAGGCGCAGAAAGACAAATGCATGTTCTCACTTATTTGTGGTATCTAAAAATCAAAACAATTGAACTCATGGACATAGAGAGTTAAAGGATAGTTGCTAGAGGCTGAGAAGGGGAAGGTGGGGATGGTTAATGGGCAAAAAAAAAAAAAAAAAAGAAAAAAATGAATAAGACCTACTATTTGATAGCACAATAGGATGACTGTAGTCAATAACAACTTGATTGTACATTTAAAAATAAAGAATGTAATTGGGTTGTTTGTAACTCAAAGGGTAAATTCTTGAGGGGATGGATACCCCATTCTCCATGATTTGCTTATTTCACATTGCATGCTTATATCAAAATATCTCATGTACCCCATAAATATATATACTTATGTATATATGCACTGCCCCCAAATTTTTTTTTTTTTTTTTTTTTGAGATGGAGTCTTGCTCTCGCCTGGGCTGGTGTGAAGTGGTTCGATCTCGGCTCACTGCAACCTTCACCTCCTGGGTTCAAATGATTCTTCTCCCTCAGCCTCCTGAGTAGCTGGGACTACAGGCACCCGCCACCATGCCTAGCTACATTTTTTGTATTTTTAGTGGAGACACGGTTTCACCATGTTGGCCAGGATGGTCTTGATCTCCTGACCTCGTGATCTGCCCGCCTCGGCCTCCCAAAGTGTTGGGATTACAGGCGTGAGCCACTGTGCCCGGCCAATGTTTTATGTATTTAAAACATAAAAATATAGTTATTTTATATATTTAATGATTGTTTCTAAGTTTTCTTTAGTGATTTGTCTGTTGTTCCTGTCAGTTTATTCTTTATTGAATTCATCTCTTCTTATTTTTAAGGTATTTTAATATATTAAGGATATGGAATTTTTGACTGATGTTACAAATACTTTTCACCAATTGATTTTTAAGGATTTCCAAATAAATGGTCAGAATAATCAAATTTTAGCCTTAAGGGAGTGTTTCATTTAGTTTTAGTTTATTTTCTAAGAAATGTGATAAATGAAATTTTTGAAGAGAGCAGATATTTGGTGATGTATGTAACATCTTTGACGTTTATTTTTATTTATTTATTTTTGAGACAGGGTCTTGTTCTGTCACCCAGGCAGAGTGCAGTAGTACAATCACAGCTCACTGCAGCCCCGACCTCCTGGGCTCAAGCCATCCTCCTGCCTCAGTCTCCCAAGTAGCTGGGACCACAGGTGTGTGCCACCATGCCCAGCTAATTATTGTATTTTTATTTTGTAGAGATGGGGTTTTGCCTTGTTGCCCTGGCTGGTCTCACACTCCTGGGCTCATGTGATACGCCTACCTCGGCCTCCTAGATTGTTGGAATTACGGGCATGAGCTACCATACCCAGCAATCTTTGACCTTTAGATTTTAACTTTGCTACCTTAAAGATTTTGAAAAGTGAAATAAGGTGTTTTGTACAGATATACTGTATATATTCTAGGCTGATAACACCTCATACCAGGGAAGAAAGATAAGCAAGTTTTGAATTATACATTTGTATATTTTGCTGTTTATGATGAGGTCGTTTTGAGCTGTTCATTTCAGTAAAGGTTTCTCCGTTAACAATAACCTTAGTAAAGGAAAGAGTATTTTGATTTCAGTAGTGTGTTGGAATTTAGCTTTGGTGTTTGACTGCTGAAAACTGTGATCAAAGTTGGTCATTACTTATGTGATTAATTTGGGAAAGAAGTGACTAAACTGAAATATACTTAACATTTTCATTATGGTAATGACTGCTGTGGTGGTTTTCTGTGTATACCTTTGTTTACATTTTTTATTTCATCAAGATAAATTCCAAAATGTAGAATTCCTTGTTCAAAGAATATGTACATTTTTATAGCTTTTGATACATACTACCAAATGACTTTTGAAAGTAGTTGATATAATACATACATTTATTATCAGTAGATGAGTGTCTTTTTTTAATACTTCAACATTGGATGTATTTTTTAAGAGTCATTATCAGTTTGGTAGTTGAAATATGATAGTGCTGTTTAATGGTAATTTCTTGGATTACTACTGAGACTCTTTTTTTATGTTTAATGACTATTTCTAAATTTTTAAAAATGATTTGCTTGATGTTCTCTGTCAGTTTATTCCTTATTGAATTCATCTCTATTTATTCCTTATTGAATTCATCTATATTTTTATTTTTAACACATTTCAATATATTACTAATATATTAAAGAGGATGGATCCCTTGATTGATGTTACAAATACTTTTCCCTAATTTGCTTTTATGTCAGGCTTATTTTTCAATAATAAAGTAGTTAGGATTTTATGCCTTTATATCAAAATGAAAATTTGTGTTTTATTTTACCAGCCTTTGGAAACCAATCTTGGTATTATAATTTTAAAATTGGAGGCAGTTCCAAAGTACATGAATAAAATCTTTGTATTTGAATGTTCAAATTCTTAATTTGAAAATTAAAAAAAATGAAGTAGTCTTATAAAACTAATTTACTATGTTTCGTTGCCAAACTTGGTCTTTCTAGGCAGTTATACTTAAGCATGAACATTGACGACAAACTGGAAGGATTGTTTCTTAAATGTGGCGGCATAGACGAAATGCAGTCTTCCAGGACAATGGTTGTAATGGGTGGAGTGTCTGGCCAGTCTACTGTGTCTGGAGAGCTACAGGATTCAGTACTTCAAGATCGAAGTATGCCTCACCAGGAGATCCTTGCTGCAGATGAAGTGTTACAAGAAAGTGAAATGAGACAACAGGATATGATATCACATGATGAACTCATGGTCCACGAGGAGACAGTGAAAAATGATGAGGAGCAGATGGAAACACATGAAAGACTTCCTCAAGGACTACAATATGCACTTAATGTTCCTGTAAGTAATTCCTTTATAGGATACTAAACTTAGAAACATAATTTCTTGTTAAGTAATACTGCAAGTCATCGAAGAAATTTCAGGAAATGTTTCAGGGATAAATAGTGTTCTTGAATAGATATACTAAAATATTGACATAAATCATATTTGAAAGGCAAAATTAAGTTCTTGTATTATATTATTTTAGAAGCTTATTTCTTTCAGGATAACAGTATTTCTGTATCAGGATTACTTGGGTATTAAATTTTAAATGCTTAATTTTGAAAGATACTTTATTTAACTTCTAGGCTTCTCCTTAAAGAGTAAAACATTTGAATCTTCAACATAACTAGAAAAAGATCACACATTCAAGGGTTTTTCCTTCGAATTCTGTAATTCCTGCCTTCTTAAATGTTTCTAATATGCTCTTATTCTCTGTTCTCTTTGTGTTCTCCACTTGCTTGATCTGTTTATCTTTTTAAAGTATATCAGCCCTTTACTTTTTCCTGTCTACCCCAGACATTATTTAAGATGTTTCATAAGTGCCCATATCTTTTTCCTTCTTCTACTTTTATTTTTACCCAGTAATCAGTGAAACCACAACCGTCATGTAAATTCTTGTCTCTTCTTTCTATGATATCAAACCTGGGTTCCTTTCAGTTCATCTAACATGTACTTTTTTTTTATTTAAGACTTTAATATATCCTGCTTGAGATAATACCATCAGTCATACCTCATACCTGTTTTATAACCTGTAGGTATAAGTTGACTTCTTCTTCTTAACTCTAGGTTGAGTCCCTGTGACAGGGACTTGTGATTTACTTGTACGATGTTTCTCTGATAGATTGTAGACTGTAAGGGCAGGAGTTTTGTCTTACTTTTCACTGTAGTCCAGGTGTTGGCACATGGTGTGAATGAATGGATAACTACTTGTAGTTGTGCTCTGATATAGACGTTCACCAGCTTTACCTAGCCCATTGCAATAACTTTTTCCTCTTTAGCCTGTTGATGTGATGGATTACATTAATTGATTTTTTTAAGTGGAAGCAACTTTCTTACCTGGAATAAATCCTGCTTGTTTGTGGTATATAGTTCTTTTTAAATGTGGTTGGATTTGATTTGATAATATTTTGAGGATTTTTACATTTGTGTTCTTGATAAATATTAGTCTATAGTTTTCCTGATGTCTTTGTCTGTTTTTGGTATTTGGGTAATACTGATCTCATAGAATAAATTAGCAAGTATTCCCTCTGCTTATGTCTTCTGGAAGAGATTGTAGAGAATTAATATAATTTCTTCCTTAAATGTTTGGTAGAATTCACCAGTGAACTGCTTTGGGTCTGGTGCTTTCTGTTTTGGAAGGTTATTGTTGATTTGATTTCTCCTATAAATGTAGGTCTCTTCAGATTATGTAATTCTTCTTGTGTGAGTTTTGACAGATTGTGTCTTCCAAGGAATTGGTCCATTTTGATAAAGTGGTCAAATTTGTGGGAACAAAGTTCATAGTATTCTTTTATTATCCTTTTAATGTCCAGGGGTTTATAGTGATGTCCTCTCTTTCATTTCTGATATTAGTAATTTGTGTTTTCTCTTTTTTTTTTTGTCTTAGGACAGTAATTTTAAAAAAATTAATTAAAAAAAATAATTTAAAAAAAATTACTGTCTTAATTCCTTTTTTTTGTGAAGTATCATTTAACTGAGTTAAATTATGTAGGATTTTTTTGGGTCTGTAATTGATGTACATTTGATTTTAAAAAGACACTGTTTGCCTTATATCAGGACAAAGAAGATTTACATACAACTATCAGCAGAAAAACAAAGTTTCTCTGTGATCTAAGCAGAGGTACTCTTCCTTGATCAGAAGAAAATGCAGTATTTTTAGAAGGTAAAGCTATTAAGATTACAGAAGTTTTACCAAAATGCTTTAAGCAAAAACTCCTTAAGAAAAAAGTATGAGTTCTCATTTTCTATTCTTAGCATAAATTTTAATTCTTTCTGGTAGAACCTAAGTCTTCTGAATGCCTGTTAGCATCATCCAAAGCTTGAACTTCTTCTATTTCTGGATTAAAAATTCATTCACAAATGAGCTGTGCAATGTGATCACTTTTTCTGACTTTAAACTTTTCTTTGCCAAAATTAAACAGTACAGCACCAACATTTCCTCAGTAATCTTCGTCTATGACACCAGTTCCTACATCGATAAAGTGTTTTGCAGCCAAGCCAGACCATGGAGCTACTCTTCTATAAAACCCAGAAGGAAGAGCTATCTGAATGCCCATTTTCACTGTAGCTTTCTCCGTAGGTGGTATTGTATCATCGTAGGCACCGTCGAGGTCATAGCCTTTGGGCTGTGTGGATCCCGGAGTCAGGGTTGTGGCCTGCTCAGAGAGTGGGGCAAAACAGAGCTGCATGCTGCCCTCCTCTGCAAACCAGGCCTGTTTGCTGAGGGTAGTGGGTGTCTCTTCAGAGCAGGGCATGGCAGAGTGAGAATGCGAGCAGAGGAGAGAGCAACAATTTTTAAGTGTCCATTTTAGTAGTGTAAACTATATTGACATTGTTGTACAACAGATCTCTAGAACTTTTTCATCTAGCAAAACTGAAACTGAAACTCATATTCGAATAACTCTGCATTTCCCCCTGCCCAGTGGTAGAGGCTTGCTCATTTTACTGATATTTGCAAAGAAACGGCTTTTGGTTTTCTTGATTTTTTTTTTTTTTTTTTACTCTATTTCCTATTTTCAGTTTCATTTATTTCTACTCTCATTTTTATTATTTTTTTCTGCTTGTTTTGGATTTACTTTGCTCTTCTTGTTTTACTTTCCTAAAGTGGAAGTGTATTCATTTTAGATTTTTTGTTTCTAATATATACATTTGTACTATAAATTTTCCTCTAAGCACTGCTTTAGGTACATTGCACACATGTTGATAGTTGTGTTTTTATTTTCTTTTAGTTCAATATATTTTAAAATGTCTGTTAAGATTCCTTCTTTGGACTGGGTGTGGTGGCTCACGCCTATAATCTTGGTACTTTGGGAGGCTAAAGTGGGTGGATCACTTGAGCTCAGGAGTTTGAGACCAGCCTGGGCAACACAACAAAACCCCATCTCTACTAAAAATACAAAAATTAGCCGGGCATGTGGCATGCACTTGTAATCCCGGCTATGTGGGAGACTGAGGCATGAGAATCACTTGAACTCTGGAGGCAGAGGTTGCAGTAAGCCAAGATTGCGCCACTGCACTCCAGCCTGGGTGACAGAGCGAAACTCTGTCTTGAGAAACAAAACAAAACAAAACAAAAAACAAACTTCTTTGCACCATTTTTGTTTAGAAGTGTGTCATTTAATATCCAAGTATTTTGAAATATTTTCTAGCTACCATTCTGTTATTTAGTTCTAGTTTAATTCTCTTGTGGTCTTAGAGCAGACGCCGTGTGATTGCTATTCTGTCAAGTTTATTAGATTGTGTTTTATGGCCCAGAATGTTGTCCACCTTGGTGAAATGTTATGTGTGAGCTTTTAAAGAGTGCGCATTCTGTTTTTGTTGGATGAGGTAGTCTATAGATTGCAATAGACTGACATTTTTATTGGACTGACAGTAGCCTGAGCCTTCTCCAGTGTATCTTTCAGATAGTTTCTACTGTCATCTTTCCAAACGAGATGTATACATGTCATTCCCTTACTGAAACTTCTCTAGTGGTTCCTCATTACTAAACAGCTAAAATGTACTTTTTTGCATGGGCGGAAATAGCCATGATACTCCTGTCCCTTATCCAACTTTTTTTTTAAACTGTAGTTCAGCCCCTTTCCCCACCATTTTATGCTTTAAGCATATGAAATTAATTTAGTTGCCTAGGTCCACTATGGTTTTTTTTCTGTTACTTTTGTTAATGTTGTATATGCCTATAATATTATTTATTTGGCAATTTCCTGTTGTTCACGTTTCACCTTAAAAGATTTATCGTTCTTGTGATTTTCTTTATGGTAACTACAATAACTTTGCATTTCCTTGCTTGCAGGACTGTCTTGTCATTATATTTTAAGATATTTTTTTCTGTATCGTGCCTTTAAATTTTGTGTTTTCAATACCTGGGTTATAGTAGGCAGATTGTTTTTGAGTGAAAATATGCATTCTGTTTTTAATTGAGGAAAAGTTTAAAGTGAAATGCTCAGATTCTGAATTTGTAGTTCAGAGTTTTGACAACTGCATAAACTTGTATAATCCATAATCCATCAAGACTCCAAATGTTTTCGTCATCCTGAGGAGTTTTTTTGTAATTCTTGCCAGTCAATTCCCTCCACAACAATTGTTCTCATATTTTTTCTTCATAAATTGTCGTTGTCCCTTGAGAACCTCATGTAAATGGAGTTATATGTAACTCTTGTGTCTGACTGCTTTTGCACAACATGTTTTGAGATTCATCCATGTTGGTTGAATGTAACAACAGTTCATTCTTTTTCCCTATTGATTAATGTTCAGTCATTTTCATTAATATCTTAAAATTTATTTATTCATTTTCCTTTTTGTGGTTATTTGTGTTGTCTCTTTCAATGATTATGAATAAAGCGGTTAGGAAAATTGTTGTACAAGTCTTTTTTTCATTTCTCTTGGTACATGTTCGTGTAAGTCTTAGTTCTCTTGGGTTTTCATTGATGGACCTAGTGTCTGTCTTTAAATCAGTATCATACTGTTTTGATTGCTGTATCTTTTATAGTAAATATTGAAATCAAGTTGTGTAAGTCCTCCAATTTTGTTGTTCTTTTGTAATGCTGTAGTGACTATGTTAGGACCTTTGCATTTTCATATAAAATATAGAATCCACCTTTTAGGTTTTTTTTTTTGTTTGTTTTTTGTTGTTTGTTTGTTTTTTTAAAGCCAACTGGTTCTGATTGGGGTTGCATTGATTCTGTATATTGACTTGATACAAACCAACATCTAAACAATAATGGCTCCCAGTCCATGAACGTTGTACACTTTTACTTTTATTTAGGTTTTCTTTATTTCAGCATTGTTCTGTAGTTTTCAGTGTAAAGTTATTGGGCATATTTTGTTAATTTTATCCTTAAGTGTTTCATGGTTTTGGTTGGATGCTGTTGTGAATGGTATGTTTTAAAATGTCAAATTCTAATTGTTACTTTCTAGAATATAGAAATGCAGTTGATTCTTTTTATATTGACTATGTGTTCTGTGACTTTGTTATCTTTACTGATTATAGTAGTTATGTTGTAGATTCCTTAGGTTTCTTCACTATCGTATTGTCCATATGTTTTACTTTCTTTCCAATCTGTATCTCTTTTATTTCTTTTTCTTATTGCACTGTCTGGGGCCTACAAAACAATGATGAATAGAAGCGATGCAAGTAGACATCTTTGCTTTGTTCCAGATCTTAAGGGGACTGCATTTACTCTTTCATCATTAAGAATTATGTTAGAGGGGGGGCGGAGCAAGATGGCCGAATAGGAACAGCTCCAGTCTCCAACTCCCAGCGCGAGCGACACAGAAGACCTGTGATTTCTGCATTTTCAACTGAGATACTGGGTTCATCTCACTGGGGAGTGCCAGACGATCGGTGCTGGTCAGCTGCTGCAGCCCGACCAGCGAGAGCTGAAGCAGGGCGAGGCATTGCCTCACCTGGAAAGCGCAAGGGGGAAGGGAATCCCTTTTCCTAGCCAAGGGAACTGAGACACACAACACCTGGAAAATCGGGTAACTCCCACCCCAATACTGCGCTTTAAGCAAACAGGCACACCAGGAGAGCATATCCCACACCTGGCCGGGAGGGTCCCACACCCACGGAGCCTCCCTGATTGCTAGCACAGCAGTCTGTGATCTACCGGCAAGGCAGCAGCGAGGCTGGGGGAGGGGCGCCCGCCATTGCTGAGGCTTAAGTAGGTAAACAAAGCTGCTGGGAAGCTCGAACTGGGTGGAGCTCACAGCAGCTCAAGGAAACCTGCCTGTCTCTGTAGACTCCACCTCTGGGGACAGGGCACAGCTAAACAACAACAACAACAACAGCAGCAAAAAAGTGGCAGAAACCTCTGCAGACACAAACGACTCTGTCTGACAGCTTTGAAGAGAGCAGTGGATCTCCCAACACGGAGGTTGAGATCTGAGAAGGGACAGACTGCCTGCTCAAGTGGGTCCCTGACCCCTGAGTAGCCTAACTGGGAGACATCCCCCACTAGGGGCAGTCTGACACCCCACACCTCACAGGGTGGAGTACACCCCTGAGAGGAAGCTTCCAAAGCAAGAATCAGACAGGTACACTCGCTGTTCAGAAATATTCTATCTTCTGCAGCCTCTGCTGCTGATACCCAGGCAAACAGGGTCTGGAGTGGACCTCAGGCAATCTCCAACAGACCTACAGCTGAGGGTCCTGACTGTTAGAAGGAAAACTATCAAACAGGAAGGACACCTACACCAAAACCCCATCAGTACATCACCATCATCAAAGACCAGAGGCAGATAAAACCACAAAGATGGGGAAAAAGCAGGGCAGAAAAGCTGGAAATTCAAAAAATAAGAGCGCATCTCCCCCGGCAAAGGAGCGCAGCTCATCGCCAGCAACGGATCAAAGCTGGACGGAGAATGACTTCGACGAGATGAGAGAAGAAGGCTTCAGTCCATCAAATTTCTCAGAGCTAAAGGAGGAATTACGTACCCAGTGCAAAGAAACTAAAAATCTTGAAAAAAAAGTGGAAGAATTGATGGCTAGAGTAATTAATGCAGAGAAGGTCATAAACGAAATGAAAGAGACGAAAACCATGACACGAGAAATACGTGACAAATGCACAAGCTTCAGTAACCGACTCGATCAACTGGAAGAAAGAATGTCAGCGATTGAGGATCAAATGAATGAAATGAAGCGAGAAGAGAAACCAAAAGAAAAAAGAAGAAAAAGAAATGAACAAAGCCTGCAAGAAGTATGGGATTATGTAAAAAGACCAAATCTACGTCTGATTGGGGTGCCTGAAAGTGAGGGGGAAAATGGAACCAAGTTGGAAAACACTCTTCAGGATATCATCCAGGAGAACTTCCCCAACCTAGTAGGGCAGGCCAACATTCAAATCCAGGAAATACAGAGAACGCCACAAAGATACTCCTTGAGAAGAGCAACTCCAAGACACATAATTGCCAATTCACCAAAGTTGAAATGAAGGAAAAAATCTTAAGGGCAGCCAGAGAGAAAGGTCGGGTTACCCACAAAGGGAAGCCCATCAGACTAACAGCAGATCTCTCGGCAGAAACTCTTCAAGCCAGAAGAGAGTGGGGGCCAATATTCAACATTCTTAAAGAAAAGAATTTTAAACCCAGAATTTTATATCCAGCCAAACTAAGTTTCATAAGTGAAGGAGAAATAAAATCCTTTACAGATAAGCAAATGCTTAGAGATTTTGTCACCACTAGGCCTGCC